GCAGAGTCGGTAACGACTGAGCGCAGATTAAAATAAATAAATAAATAAAGGGACTGAACTGTACTGGATTGCCCCATTGCTGTTCTTGGGCTGAACCTGACAGAAACATTGGTACAGGGGTTCCATTTCTTGATCACCCAGAGAGTACAATAGAATGGTGGGGACTGGCTTTTATTGGAGATGATGATGATGATGATGATGATGATGATGATGATGATGATGGTGATGATGATACATGAATATGGATTCTCCATATGGCTCTTTACCAATTCTTTTGAACAATTTAAAAGGCAAAACTAAGAAATCTAATACTGACTTTATTATTCACCCTTTATATATGCTGGACTGAATATAGCAGATGTTAGATATGAAGAAGAGATGTCCTACTGTTAGTTTCCCAAGCTACCCAAAGGGCTTTCCTCTGTCTTCCTCCTCATGCTTCTTGAAGTTAATGCTGTGCGAGGAAAAAAAACAAAAGGAAAAGAGGAGCATCTCCAGCAAAATAGACAGATTGTCTTAGAGAAAATCTATCTATGTGACCACTAGGAGTCAAAAATGACTTGATGGCACATAATCCATCAAATCCAGCAAAATAAAAAGCTCTCATATTGGCATATCTCCTGTTCTATTCCTGGGTGCAAACTTCACCTCCTGAAATAACATCAGAAGGATCATGGGATTCATCTTCTACCTCTGGATTCTTGGCAAAGAAAAATCACCAGTATGTAAGACAGCCAAATATAGGGCACACTCCCCTACTCAGACTTTGCATCCTCCGGGTTATATATGAGTTAGACCAGAATGGGGAGAAATCAAGATAAAATATTAGGGGATGGGGAAGAGAAAGTCCCCCCTTTTCAGGCTCAAAAGTGGTATTCTAATTTGCAGGTATGATGAGCTGAAGCTGCTGTCAAGTGAACTGGAGGCTGATGCTACCCAAGCTGGATCTAACGCTGATAGGGTCTATCAGGACAGTCAGCAGCAGCTTGGCTCTCTGACTCGTTTAGCAAAGATTGACACAAGCTTTTTTCAGGTAAGGCTTGTGTTTGTGGATTAACTGTGGTTGCCCCCAAGAGATTTTCAGAAAAGTCTTTGTTTTACTTCATGCGTTCATCTCTTTAAATGAAGGACATCCTGGCAGTGGGAGAGAGAAGCTGTGGCTGCATTCACAAGGCGGCTTTGCTGTGTTCCCCTGACAGGAAGTCATGCTGCCCCCCAACGTGCCTTTACTGCCCACCCAGAATAGGTCTGTGCTGTGCTGCTGTCTATGCAGCTTAATGCATGACATCCCAAGGGCCATGATTGGTTGTCTCCTTGGCTATGATCCCAGTCCTGCCTGGAATAGTATGTGGGAATGACCTTGGGAGACAGGGCAAAGAGACACAGCCAAGGGAATGGTCAGATAAAAGGCAGCTTAGCCTGCAGCAGGAATGCAGATGGGAAAAGCAGCTCAGAAGAGACCCTCCCTAGTTTCTTAGGGACTAAAAAAAAAGGGGGGGAACGGGGGGAGAAATGTACTTTCAGACCTGCAAGATTCTGTTAATGTAATCTTACAATGAAGTAGAAGTAGCTCATCTGGCCGTGTTTCCTGTCTGGTCTACCTTGCAAGGCTGACACTGCCCAACATTGTCCACCTGCCCAACATTGTGAACCATGTCCACCACTCTTCCCATTAGCACGCAAAACACTCTGATTACTCCAGGCCCTGCAATTCCCCCCCCCCCATTTTCTTTTCTTTTGTACCATCTACTGACTGAATTTTTTGATTGTTTGACCTTTTGACCACTCACTTGCAGCAAAGAGGTAGGGGGATGTTTTTGTATCCTTTGGCTGTCATCTAGTGGTCATCCAGATTTGTGCAGATGAGATGCAATGATTGGATAAGTATTGCTGAGGAGCTGGAGTTTTAAAAAAGAGTATTATTGTGGGGATCAGTGTGGGAACACTGAAATACCCTAAGAACATAATGTGAGAGGAACTGAGGAACATAATGTGAGAAGAACTGAGCAGCAGTCCCTGGGAAGAGAATTACCAACTGTGTAGGGTTCAGAAGTACAAAAGCCAAACTGTACTTTTAATTATCCTTTGAATTATGCCAAGGATGGCCTAATCAATTTCATGGCTTGCCTCTCTAGGTTAACTGCTTTCCCTCAATTTTTCCTCTGATGTTTTAGGAGGAGGCCAGACAGCTCCAACAGAAAGTGGACTCTTTAGCAGGCTTCATAGAAACCTACATGGCAGAGTACAAGCAGCTGAAAAGCAACTCAGGGAACTGGGAGGAAGAGATCAAAACGTTATTGGAAAAAGGACAAAATGACAGACTGGTAAGTAATCAATATATGTAAATAAATACAAATTAGTAAGTTCTGAGATCCGTAAAGTATTTACTATTCAACAGGGAAACTTCAACCAAGATCTTAATCATGAATTTTTATGACATTATAACTGGCATGTTTATGGTTTGTTCTTTGTTTCCATATGAGGACTAAAAGCATTGACTGTTTATGTCACTCTTGGGAATCCCCAGTAGAAGGCACAGAGATACCCCCTGAAATATACTAAATGTCTGAACCTGGTCTGTAAATAACCACTGACCCTCTGAGTCTTAGGTGAAAGGTTCCTAGTGGGCAAATCCTATATTGCTGTACACAGTATGGATGTGGAACTGAATTTATCTGCTGTGTATTTTCACACTCTTGTCCTCCTGTCTGGTTACAGTCATCAGTTCCATTGTTGTCTCGTGTCAACCTTGCCAAGCAGAAAGCCCAGGAGGCAGTGAGTGCTGGTGATTCTTCTTTGAATGAAGTTGAGACTATCTTGAAGAAGCTGAGGGGTGAGTTGTCCCTGGATCTAAATGAGTTGCAAGTTTCTTATGAGGCTTGTGAGTAGTGGGTAAGATTGTGCAGCACTTTTGATTCAGTCCCAAAAGATATTTCAGAGAATGTGGGAGAGTGAACGTAGCACCAGTCTTCAACTCTTTAAACCAATGACCTCTTTTCCCAGGATCACGCAGCTCTTTGCAGCTGCCAGGTGAACCTGGGGGAAGACGTAGCTGCTGTAAAAAGTTGACTGCACCTGTTATGTATGGAATGTCACATACTGCAAAGCACTTTTTTGGAATCAATTTTATAGTACATAATAATGGGTGAGGAGTTCATTGAGGGACAGGTTAGAAACAGTTATCATGTCCATGTAAAAACTTAACAAGAAAACAGGATCACATGGCACATAAATAATTTAGATCAAGAAAAGAGATGCTCAATTTAGAACTTTTTAATGTGACTTTTTGTTTTAGTAAGCTAATCAAATGTTTGGAGTTGGACTTTGATTATGGTTTGAATTGTAGAGTTGATCATTCATAGTAACCTTTGGCAAGTTGTCCTGAGACTTCACTGCAGGGTACAAATCAAATCAATGAATGTGCAGAGTTGGAGGATGGAAAACTTTGTAGCCCATTTAGCCCTGTGCTCAATATTCAGATTCTAGAACTGCAACAACCCAACATCTCGCTCCAGTCCTCTGCCTGAAATCCACCTTATTCTCAAGTCAATTTTTAAAAAATTTTCTCTTATCCTAATTCTCTGTCTTGCACGATTTTCCTCCTTATTCTAGCCAACCTTTTAACCTCAAAGTATTGGAAACTGATAATTCAATAAAGCTGAGGCACAAATAAGGTAACTTTCTGTGTTCATTTTTTAAAAATTTATCTTTTTCTCTACCTTCTGTTTATAGATTTTAATTTTCAAGTGGGTGATAAGCAAAAAGAAGCCTTGGATGCCATGCAAAGATTACCATTCATCATCAATAAAGTTGCAAGTACCCGTGAAAAATTGAGGAGTGTAGAAGCAACCCTAGGCAAGGCTGTTAATGAAGCAGAGGCAGCCAGGAGAATGTCTGCTGAAGCAAGGGAGATTGCTGGGAACATTGATAAGGTATAGAGGAGTGGAAAAGATGTTATGGTTAGCAATCTGGATATGGAAGAACTAGTATGCTTGAGGATGGATGGCCACGGCAATTTGATTTTCTTCATTTGAATTTATATCCTGAAGGTTTAGATTAACATGCTGTCATTCAAAACTTCATCAGCAAATACCTCGGTTCACGAATGCTTCTGTTCACGAACAATTCGGTTCGCGAACAGCAGCGTTCGCAAAATTTTGCTTCCGTTCGTGAACTCCGCATCAGGTGACAAACACAACCTGTGGCCCTCTTCCCTGCTCTGACACGTGGTCGTGGCTTCCTCTAGATGAGATCGCGGTCGCAAACACTTGCTGTGAAGCTTTTTGGTGTGCTTTTTATCACATACAGTACATCCAGCATGGCTCCAAAGAAAGTGCAGAGCAAGCATGGTGCAACATTTCAATGTCCTCCACTGCATCAACCTCATTGACAAAGCCTGGGAAGATGTCATATTTTTATGGTTAAAAAAACCCCAAAACATATGGTTCAGAACGGATTAACCTTATTTACGTTGAACCTTATGGGAAAATTTGATTCGGTTGGCGACCAAAATCAGTTGGCGACCATGTTCGTAGGGGTCAGAACAGATTAACCTTATTTATATTGAACCTTATGGGAAAATTTGATTCGGTTCGCAACCAATTCAGTTTGCGACCAGAATTGTGGAACGAATTAAGTTTGTGAACCGAGGTATAGGAAGTGTATAGGAAGACACTGTTCTTTACTTCACATTTGGATACCACTTCAGATTATTCAGAATCTGTCGCAGATACTTTCATGTATTCATTCTTACAACAAACCTGTAAGATAAGCCAGAATAATCATTGGCCTATTGTGGATGGAGAACTGAGGCTGGGAAATACTAGTTTGTCCGAGACCACCAAATGTATTTTGGCAGAATGAGATTTACGTACATCAAGGACTTTCCAGCTCTCACTTGAGTTGCTTAGCCACTATTGCTATAGTAGCTTTCATCTTAACTATAGGTTGGATAGAAGTCTATGGCACGAACTGGAGTGATCAGTTGATCCTCTGTGGTTATGTACATCTGATATTGGTCAGAGATGAAGATGGATTTGGGGTCTGGACCCATAATAAAGGGTAAAGTTAATTATTAGGATTAGGGTGAGATAGAAAAAAAATACTAAGAGTAGGGAGACTCCTAGTTCACAAAACCTCAGTGGGAGATTTTGGCCTCATCACTTTCTCTCAGCCCAACCTATCTCCCAGGGTTTTTGTGTGGAAAAAGGTGGAAGGAGCACTATGTATGGCATCTTGAACTACTGCATAAATGTTGGATGTAAATCTGATAAATAAAAGGGGTATCAGATAGAAGCATCAATCTTGGGATTTCCTGGGGTTATTGTCTCAGTTTTGTGGGATTTCTTGGAAACTTATTGCTTATTACTTATTATTATACTTATTGCTTATTACTTCTGCACATCAAGCCACCAAATGGATCTTCAAGTATCCACCAGGCTTCTCTTGATTTTCTTATATTCTTTCTTGTATTTGCATTCCCAGGAGATAGGAAGGCTGGCCTTGGAAGCAAATCGGACTGCCGATGGTGTGCTTGTCTTGGAGAGTGGGATCATGTCTCTGAAGCATGAGGTCAAACTTGTGGGAGAAGAACTGCAAGAGAAGGCAAGGAAGATTGACATGGATGCCTCCATGGCTCAAGAGGTAAGTTTCTAACTTTGGCTTTTTACAATGGGAACTTTGAAGAAACTTCTGTTTCCATACAAAAGACTACTGAGCAGGCTATCACAATCTAGTATTGATATTTCTCCAGACAGTTGAGGCATCCCAGAGGGCCAGAACCAATGCTGTCAGTACTGGGAGTGCTGTCCAAGACATGCTCAGGTTCCTAGAAGATGTTTTGCGCATGATAGGTAAGCAGCAAAGTGATTTCCCTTTATGGCTAAAGCATTATTTAGTTTCATTAGTGGATGCTTCAAGAAAAACTTGAGCTGGTTAACCAGGTTAAGTCAATTATAATAGACAGTAACAAACATATATTGATCATTGAACATGAGGGCAGGGGGGCAAATATTTTTTAATACCATTTGAACTCTCATGTTATTTTATAAAAGTATGAAAGGGATATTAAAATGTGTATATTCCACTTGTTATGGCTATCTCAAAAAGACAACCCTATTAAGGTATCAACGATACAGAATATATAATAATATTATACATGAATTTAATAAAGTAAAAGCAGTTGAAAACTCCACTTAAAATTTTTCATACCTAAAAGCCATAGTACCAAATGTATTGCTCAGATAAACTTTATGGATAGCAACCAGCACATTGAATTGTACCCAGAAGCCTATTGGGAGCTAGTACATCTCCATGAGGGTGGAGATGTACAGCTGAGTAACATCAGCAAACTGATGATACCTCATCCTGTGCCTTCAGATGACCTCATCCAGTGGTTTCATATAAATATTAAAAGGAGTGGGGAGAGTGCCTAGCCCTGAGGAACCCCAGCCCTGAGGAGCCCTTCCACCAACACCAAAACCAATCCCAGAGGAAGGAGTAGAACCAGTACAAGACCATTCCCCCAACTCCTAAATATGGAGCTGGTCCAGAAGGATACCATGACTGATGGTATTGAAAACCACTGAGAGATCAAGGAGAACAAGAATGGATGTACTACTCCCATCCTAAGTCATTCATAAGTGCATTCAATGCTGTCTTAGTCCCATAACCAGGGCTGAAATCCTACTGAAAACGGTCCAGATAATCTGTTTCATCCAGGGCTCTCTGAAGCTCCAGCATGACCACCTTCTCAACAACCTTCCTTAAAAAGGAAATGTTGGGGACGAGACAAAAATTATCCAGAAATGGTCAGGTCTAGCAATGGCTTCTTGAAAAGGGGGTGGAACACTGCCTCTTTAAGCATTGGCAAGACCACCCCCTTTCTCAAGGATGCATTCCTCTCAAACATTGCCACTTCCCAGATGAATCTGAGAAAAAAGTGTGCATTGGCCTACAGAAGTTCAGGAAGTAGCATTATAAAGGTTTGATTCCTGGATTATGAGGCAGCTACTTAGGGTTGTTTGGAATTATGGGTTTGGCAGAATATATTCTCCTGTTCCTCTTTTGCCAGGCCAACCAGAGGATGTGGATGAGCAAGGTATGAACATGCTTGAAATTAATCTTGGCAATGCCAGAACAAGAAGCAACCAGTTGAAAGAACTGATGTTGCAGCTGGAGGAAACAGCCAGCCGGCAGAAGCTCCGAGTCCAGACGCTGGACAGTAGCATTAATGAGATCCTTGCAGATATCAAGAACTTGGAGGTGATCCAGGATACTCTTCCTCCAAAATGTTATAATATACAACCCATTGAGAGACCTTGAAGCCTTTGGAAGCAGGGAAAGCAGACTTCCAGCAAGCCCATTTGCCAAGCCATGGACAAACTTCAGGGTTAGAGAAGTGGTTTCAGAGTGAAATGAAGAGATGCCTGCCTTACAGGACTGGCTGCTTGGAACTCCACTGAACAGATCCCTCTGAAGTTCTGTTCATTGGGTTGGGATGGCAATTTCCTCACTGTGGCTTATGAGTGAACCATTACCTTTCAGCAGCAGATAATTTGAAGGGAATGTAATTCAAGCCCCCACTCTTGAAAAACAAGAGGGAAACAATCTGGTCACATGACAGAGAAGCTAACCATAAAGAACAGAGTGTGGAAGAGACTGGATATATAAGATAGGTATCCTGGGATATATAAGATCCTATGTATTTATCTGCCTTCACCTGAGGGTGCTATCTCAGATTGGAATCTACTGCTGAATCTCAGCTTTATCCAGCCCTTTGTCTTCCTTTCTTCAATTGTGATTCAGCAGAAGAAAATGGATGTTACACCCGTCAAAATGTACTCTGTTCTGTTATTGAATTCTTAGGCAATGAATAACTAATTTTTCCACTAAGCATTCTAGAAATACCTTTTCTTTCCAAAAACATTTTCCCCCACTTCCATCTCTGGTGGCTATTAAGATAATCATATGGGAGATAGAACATATACCTATCCATAGACCTAAACTAGTTTTACAATGATTACCTCATGCCAGGGATTCTGGGAACTCTAGTTCTGTGATGGGAAGGAGATTTTAGAGATTTTAACAGAATGCTCGGTATGCTGGTCGAAAGACAATTCCCAAGATCCTCTGCAGAGAAGCTTGGACACTTATACACAAGTTATATAGGCTTGTATAAATAGGCCTGCCTTTGGTAGATGTATTCATTTTCCTTCATTCACTTTTTCTCCACTTGCTTAATGACAAACTAGGAAGGGAAGAATTTAATAAAGGCAGTGGTTTAAGAGGTGGATTTTTTGTACAACCACAAGCTAGGCATGGCATCCAGACCACTTCTTTGTTAACTCAGAAGATTTTACCCTTGTCCTGAGATTTATTACACACTATGGTTCTACTCCTTCCCATTGAGGTTCAGAATCAGTTTCTGAAGTACAAAGTAGGATCTGCTGAGTTAAATTCAGAAAAAAGGTAGGATGAAACTATGGCACATGAAAAATCTTAATAAATGCTTTGTTGGAATAGGATTAATATGAAATGGATTAAGCCTCAATTTGTGTTTGTCCATATTAATAAAGCCCTCTCTGTTGCTAAAACAGCAGTTAGGGTATATCTGTGCAGGAATTTCCTTCAAAAGGGTTATAGTGATCCATCTACTCTCTCAGGCAACCTTAGCTAGAACAGGTGAAGCTGTAAAACAGAATCAAAACCCAGCAGGAAGTAACCCTATAGACTTTTAATCTTTTTACTGGTAGCCCCATTCAGTCACTTTGGGCATAAGGCAGATACTTCTCTGGCCAGTCCTTTGCAAAGGGTTATATCTGAGTCCTTGTATATGCAAGGTATGTGCTGTATTATTCAACTACACCAATCAAATCCACCATTTGCCATTAATTATTTTGGGTCAGTCATACTCTCTCTGCCTAGTGGTACCCCACAAGTTTGTTGTTACAGGAAAAATTGAAATTGAAAGACCATGCCCCTGAGGTAAAAGCAGGATATCTATTTGTCCAATAAAAATATAAATTATGCCATCATACAAAGCTATTAATTTGAGAGGTTGAGGTAGAGGATAAGCCTATGATGTCATTGCTTTTCTAATGGGTGATCCTGCTTCTACACCAAATGCTGATGGTGTGTTCTGCCTAGGGTAGTTGCCCGGCTGAACTCTGTACCTATTTGTTCTTCTCTTTTCTAAAGAGAGAAGAACCCTTATGTCATATTGCAAACAACAGAAAGTGTACTCCAAATTTTCCTACTACGAAAGCAACATTAAAAGCCAACAACATTTCATTAGCGTAATTTTTATTTCTTATATCCTTTTAAACATTTTTCCAATTATTTTCAACATTGTCTTTGTGATCGTGACCATTTTAGCAATAATGATCAAACTCCAGCATATTACATCAGTGTAAAACTGACATTTTCAAATCTTTTTTCCTTTTAACATTTTTTTTAAACAAAGCAAAATTTAGTTTAAAAGGGCAAGTTCAGTAATGACAAAGAATTTTCTTCCTTCCCTGTGTAGCTAAAATCCATGTTTCGTGTCAGGTAAATCAGTTTGATACTTCAATCTCCAATCTTACCAAAGCAATTCCATCTTCATCCTCCAAAGGTATGCTACACCTGCTCCCTTCTCCCTCACAATCATAAGCATAACTGAGCATATGAAGGCAAAGAGTAGTAAGACTTTATATACATAATCTGTATCACAATGCTACGTTTCTAAGGCATGCTGTCCTAAACTGGATGAAACTGGAAAGTGGCCCTGATAATCCATCTTTTTTGTTCACAATAATGGAGAGATCATCCTGTTATTTCCTTTGTTGTCCCACTTGTTTGTATCCAACCAAAATTGTCCTTTAAGCCTTTTTGGAAGGCTACGCTTACAGTCACACACACAATCACACACGCGCACACACAAACGGAGTTGACTATGTGGTTGGCATTGCGTCTTGCAGCTCGGCGTTAAGACCAATAGTGGATTGCAGCGGGAAGTGGCTGCTCTCAGTACTGGAGGCAAGTGAATGAGAAAGTGCTTTAGAAGTTGTAGCTGATATGTATCACAGGACAGCGGGAGGGCGATTTATCTAGTAATGTAGGCTATCTAAGCCTTCTCTGAGTAGAAAAATTCTTATCAAAGACACTGTCTCTTGTACATCTGCCTATGGTAGCAGTGAGTACAGAAGGGTACTCAGTGCTTTGGATGCTACAGTAGGTAATGGGACGAGCCTCATCAAGTCATCTTGGTCCTCAGCCATTGTGTCTGGTTTCTAAGGGCTTGTTTGGACGTGACAGCTGGTTCTCATGAAGCAACAGTAATATCTGAGATTGTGTGCACGAGGAATTCAGCAGGATAGTGTCATACCTTCTTTGCTCACATTTCACGGGGAAATCCACATGACATTACCAGCCATCTGGTATTTTTCCCAGTGCTACTTCTGCCACCTTCTTACTTTATAAAAAACAACATTTGTGAGAATAAAAGAGTAGCATAATATTCACAGATGTAAATGCTGATAGGGCTAGTCCATCTTTTTTTAGGGTATGGTTTAGATGCAGGCACTGATGTTAATTCTTGCAACTGGACGTTAATTTAGAAACCCATTTTCCCCACCAATCTTTTAATTAGTACTAAAGTGCTTCCCTGGCTATAGTTTTTAAAAAAGAGAGGAATGGCTTAAATAGAAGAGTATTAAAACACTGTAACTCTTCAATTTTGTTTTTTTTAAAAAATCCCCGTCATTCTGGCTAGTATTATTTTATCAGTCCTTTTCTTCCTAATTAAATACTTCTAACCTCGCAATCTGAAACAGGCAAGCCCATTTCATTGAATAAGCACACAGCACAAAATGAACAGCTTATTATTATTATTATTTTCATAAAAAGGGTCACCAGGGTTTCTACCCATAGCTGAACTGGATGCTCCTGCTTTATGTGCTACAACTCTAGTAGTGTGGAAAGTCCACTGAAAACCCATTTATAGCCTACATCACACAGTAATGACTTATCAGTGCTAGGAATCACCTACCAAGACATTTTAAATGCTGATACACTTCTGCCTATATTCAATTCAGGTGGTCATTGGTGAGAATAATCAGAATCAGGTAGTACAGCAGGAACCAGAAGGCCCCTGAAAGTCTGAATTACAACTGCTGAAGCAATCCTGTTTTTCCAACCAGTACCAACCAATCTATACCTGTAGAAATGTCACACTTTCCACTGAAACTCAACCAGACTGCTGGAGAATCACAGAGAAATGGGAGACATTTGTCACATTTTCTCATAAGCCCCATTTAACTAGCCCCCATCAGGCTTTGTAACGAGGAGTTTTGCTGGATCTTTAGTATTTCTTTCCTGAGCTTTGGCTACTTTATATGTAAAATGACATCGTTTGTAACCTAAAACAAAGATACTTCCTAAGATCTAAATAGGTTTAGTAGAACTCATATAACTCTCCACTATAGAAAGATAAACACCAGTCTATCACAGCAGTTGGGTAATTTGTATTTCGCTGTAGCTCAAGCTGTTTTCCTACTTGTGAAGCTGCCATTTGCCACCACTGATATTCTCCAATGATTCCTAGTTCCTCTCAATATTTATAATAGCCACACTCTACTAAACTGCCCCATTGGTGGACCATTTAATCTACTCCAGCTATTAGGCAGGGGGTTTTTTTGTTGCGTTTCAGAGAGAGTGTGCCTTTTGTAGAGGATGAAGTATCTATTTTACAGGGTAAACTTGAGCAGCAGTTTCTTTCCATCAAGGGAAAGAAGGGCCATGGAAAACGAGCTGCCAGATTGTAGGACCATGTACAATTGTTGCCTACAAGAAAGATACGTGTACTTCCTTGACAGCAGAAAATAATGAACTGAAGTAGCTGACAACTATAACACCAGCCGTGGTACACCATGACAAGTCACTAAACTCCAAATGGGTTTCTGAAGAACATGAAAAGCCAGGGACAGACAATTCAGGGCCACATCACTATCTAACATTCAAGAGACAGGTGCTCTGTGGCGCTTTCCCCACTTTCAAGGAATGCTTCCTTTAAAAAAAAGTTGTGAGAGTACAACAGCAACAAAAACAAAACCATTTCATCTTCTCCTGCTGAAAGAGATATCTATTTCCAATGGGGGTGGGGGGGTGGATATGCTAAATATGAAGCAAGTTTGCTTTCTGAGCTTTTTACGCCTTTTCTCCGACAACCTATTAAAAAAGGTTTCCACTGCAGAAAAGCATTACAGTTGAGCAGTTCTATTTTTGGGCAGTTCTATTTTTCTGCTCTCTTTTTTTTGTTGTTTAAGTTCACTGCTAAATTCTTCTAGCAATGTCCTGAAATATCTGGTGGGTGTTTTGTTTTTTTGTTTTTAATACGCCTGCCACCTCGTTGTCACTGTAAAGGATGGCAATTATAAAAAAGCCAATTTTGGGGTGGGAGGGTTGAGAAAGCAAATGAGAAGCAGTAAAAATAAAAAGCCCCACCAAGATTTATTTAGCCAACAGAGGGAGAGAGGAAGGGAAACAGAATAGCCATCATCCTGCTTCCCAAACCATGCTGGGAAGGTAGGTAGTGTGGTTTCCCCTAGTGCATGCTGGGAAGGGCAACCCAAATCCGCACCCTTTAAGCAATGGCACCTGATACTCTTTACTGTTTTCCCTCCTAACTGCAAGGAGAGAAGGGCTGCTTGATGGCATATGTACTTGGCTGTTAGCTGTGGGCAACAATTTCCGGGGCTAGAGAAAATCAGAGCAGAATAGGCAGATGCACGCAAGAGGCATTGAAAAAGAAACAAGAGTGAGAAAGAACCGTGATGAACAATCATAGGAAGGTGGTGCCACATGGCAGCTTTGCCACAATGCCAGCAGAACTTTAACCAGAGGCATTCAGGTACAGCTGACTCTTGAGGATGTAATCAATGACGGGCTGACACAGGTAATCCACCACATGCCCATCGCCATGCTGAAGGGCCAGTCTGTGAGGGGCGGGGGACAGAAAGAGGAAGGAGGAGAAAGCAGGAATCAAGTTACTTTAAAACTAGACAGGTATATAGTCCAGGCTACCCATTTTCTGGTGGTTCCTAGGCTAACCCTGTATAATTTGCTAGCTGGCCCATTTCCAAGAGAGCCATTGGAGACGAGAAGCAAGAAAAGTCCTAGAGCAGGGATGGGCAATCTTTTGATGGCAAAGAGATGCACTCAACGCTGTTGGGAGAGGGGAATTGAGGACTGCAAAGGAGATATAGGCATAGGACACATATGGGCGGAGTGAGTTTCATCTGTGACGAACCTATTTCAGGTCTTGTGCAGTTTTCATCAGTTTCCCAAAACAAAATGTAGGGAAACTGTGTCATTAGTTTCTGGTAATTATGATTGGAAGATGCTCCAAGGCCTGCCAAAAAGGGGAATCAGGAGCTGCATGTGGGTCTAGGGCTACAAGTTCCCCATCCCTATCCTAGAGTTGGAGATGTTCATGATATCTGAATGAGATC